TTGTTTCTCGTGACGTTATTTCTTTTTCTTCTTTCTGCAAACATTCTAGATAAATTTAGTGTTCTCGGAGCCCTTCTGCTTTAAAAAGATACCTTGATAAAAAATGTTGTAATGAAGGTACAGAAGGTATGTAGAGTACCTGTGCTAAATCTTTACACCCAACCTACCAGGGTTAACATGATCTGTAAATTACTTATTATAATATATTTGCACCCCTTTTACACATATGTTTGCTTCACATATATTGAATTCCTATTTTTCTATCACTAACTTCTCACAATGTTTATACTAATGTTCTCATTGCATATCACTGTAAAGTCATTATTAACGTTATTTTCTATAGTGGACCATAAAGGATGTTTTAGTTACGTGGGTGTTTGAATCCTAATTATTTTTTTTTGTTAGATAACAGCTAATAGGGCTCTCATAGATATTTTAAACAATTTTTTTTTACCAGGGACTGTCTATATTTTTTAATAGGAAGTTCATAGGCATGTTGTTGGAGTTAAAGTTACAAATTTGTTGGTTTTTGGTTTTCATTGAATGTTTCTTTCACTGGTGTGAATGTTTTTGTCCCTCTGCCATGGTAGAGCTAGAATTCGCTGATAGTGGAATTTGCTGTTTCAGTAGCAGGATGCTGAATTGTTCCGGGCAACTTATGTTTTATGACTGTTGTGGATTTTTAGGAATTATACCACAAGTATATCTGCTAAGATTGTTATAACTTTGTTTATGAGACATATGGACTGTTTTACTGAGTACCGCTTTTTTTCATACAGATACGTATGTATATGTACATATATACTTTTTATTAAGATTTATTCCAATCTCATTGTATAAAACGAATTTTTTTTTCAGAAATGTCAGTAGTTGTTACTCGTTGATAACTTTTCTGGTTAATATCATTAGTAATTGCGCAATCATAAATTTTCCTGTATGATTGCAAGTCAGACGATTGCTTAAGTTATACAATAATACATTTTTTTGCCACTGATTTTGTTGGTAGGTAAGAAATATGAGGATCTCCCAAAAAAAGTAATTCAGAATCTGTATCTAAGTGCCCAATTAATAGAAATTTCAAATTGAAACTGCATTTTTCCATAATTCAAATCAAAGTAACTTGAAAATGTTTTTTTTCTTTAAGCTTGCATATTTTAGATCCTTCAAAACTACTAATTTCACAGATCTAGTGTATTTGTAAATATGTTGCTGTAAAATTTTATGTTTGTACTTTGACTTTCGTTTTTTCTCATACTTTTTTTATTTTTTCCAATATGTTTTTTTCTGTTCATACGGAAACACAATAGTCTTTTTTCCATATTTTTGATGGTTCACACGTATTTTTTTTTATCGTAATATAATGTTCTTTATTGCTACTAATAATTTATTATGAAGGGTTCCAAAATATCATAGACTCATTATCTATACCAGTAACTTATCTTCCCGAACGTTGGGTGAACAGTCATTTGTCGTTCAAAAATTTTTGACTTAAACATTCTTCTCTTTCTTCTCTTCTAGTTTATAAAGATAAACAAGTCTTCACATAAGATAAAGCTTACTTACGTCTGTTTTTGACTTATATTTGTCTATAATATTATTACCTATAAGTAAACGCCGAGGTGGGAATCAAGTTCGTCTTAGTCGGTCCTGATTCCTTTTGGTCTCTTTTACCTTTTTTCCTTTTTGTTAAGTGATGACTTGCGTAAATAAACAAATTTTTATTTTATTTTATTTTATATTATATTTATTCCAATAATAAAATATCAAGACTCTTAAAAGAGTCATACTTAACAAAAGTCGTCACTTAACAAAGCTGACTGTGGACTTTATAGCTCTCGGAAGTATTAAGTGACAATAAAAGCAAGCCACTAATTCTAAGCATGTAAAGTCAGCAAGTACCAGCCCCATAGCATATAAGACAAAGAGGTTTTGACTAAAGCTTTGCGCAAGGTGCATTTTGTCGCGTGGCATTTTAGTAAGTAGCTTCCCACCGCTCATCGAGTGTAGTCCTTAATTATTAAATCATTAATTAGTTCAATATTTTAATCCAAGTTGCTATAATTGTTTAGTAAATTAATTTTAATTTACTGTAAAACTAAATAACAAGAATAAGTATACCAGATAGTGCGAAATATTTTATTAGTAAAACCAAATAAAATTAATTATATCAAAAGAAGCGGTACTTAAGAATCATATAGAATTTAATCTGCAAAAAGAATAGGTAAGTTCACTTGTATATTTTACATATCTAACACTCTCTTTTTTTTTCTTTCCCGGACATATATGTAAATAGTTGGACAGTCTGCTAGTCCAGCACCCCGTCAGAGAGTGTGAGACTGAAATCCACAAACATTCAGTTTTTACTAGATGATAAAGTTAAATAATCAAAATTTATTACTTAACAAAAAATAGTAGCAGAGTGCGATTAAGTCTCCAAAAATTTTTTGTTTATTAGATGTTCTTTTACTACTATTTTTTATAGAAACGATAAATACCATTCAAAGAAGCATGTTAATAAATGACACGTAACACCTCATAAAAAGCAGTGTGCATAGACGTATATATGCTGTGACTTTGCAGAGAATGTGCACCATTTCGTTAGAAATAAAAAAAAAAAGTAATACGTTGATAAATTAACGATTTAATAAATAAGAAAAGTTCACCGTTATCAAATTAAAAAGTGAAAAATAAAATACTATTGTGTATTAAATAATACTAGAAAAAAATGAAAATTAGTAATATCTTATACTACACCTACTGATACATACCTTAACACCAGATCTGCTAGTTTAAGCGGTCTATCTATTCCTACCTCAAATCTGCTAGTCAATGCGATTCGTTTCCTTAGTCTTGCTTTAATAGCAGACATTCTAAATACAGGATCTGCTTCATAGAGCGATCTTTTCCCAATTACAAAAACATAATAACACAGTGAATAAATAAATTTAAAAAAAATCTACATATATATGTACATAAATGTAAAAAAAATTGAAGTACAAATAATAACAGCACATGAATTATCTAACGTGGACGGGTAAAGAGAAAAACAAAACAAGTGGAAAAAAACGTTACTTACAAAAACTATTAGCTGAGAAAATTTTTCTAGAAAAAAAATTGGATTCTGTAACTAACCAATTATAACATTACTGTAACTCTCACAAGTCAAACACTTATTTAACAGAAAACAACAAATACAAAACACAAGTAGTTTGTACGCATCAGAAAAATAAAACCATGATCTGAAACCTGACACAGCCCTTCTCAAAACCTCAGACTATATTGCTATGCAGAAAAAAGTTTGATTTTATAAAACTTATGACACACTTCTGTTGACAAAATTTGAGTCTCCTACTACTTTTTAAGATTAATTTTTATTGCGCAACGTGTTCCAAGTTTTTTACACGAAATATCGGTATCTAGCTGCTTTAACGTATGTACCATTGTTTTTTCATAACATTTAATGGTTTAACCTTTGAACACTGATAAGTTAAACACAGTTAAATTAACCGTGATCAAGGATGTTTTCATGCATGGTTAGTACAACTCACTTGAACACGTTATCTTATGGGAGCCCCCGCATACCCGCTTCCCACCCCCTGGAAAATCGACCGAACAAGTTCCAGCGTGAAATATCGTGCTCTCTTCTAATCTAAAGAGGAAAAAGTGCCAAGTATCATGTCGATACTTCCTTTCAGCTGCAGAAAGAGCCTTTAATTATACACCACGCACTAAACGATGCCAGCGTAGCAATAAAGATATATAGCTACACATGATATGTTAAAAGTCCATGCGCCATGTACTATCTTCCTAGCTTAAAGGAGAGGGTACGATAAATGCGCACTTTATTGAACTCTCTTACTTTAGTTCCTGGATATGACACATAGTATACTTATCGTTCTGACAGCAGGCGTACACCTATAAGAAAAACTGCAATGTTATTATACGTGCATGCGCCAAACACTCATTTATACTGGAAATATATATATATATATTTTGTTGTACACATGGATCAAGAAAATAAAATCTTTTTTTTATCATCCATAATTTATTATGTGTAGCACGTCAAATGCATGATTATCATAATTTTTTATTTATGTATGTATCTTGTTATTTCAACAACATCTATTTAACATGACAACGCTCGTTATTTACATTTGAACACAATTTTCTTATTTTTACTACACATATATGACAGAAAAACTTTCACATATTTCACTTTCAAATATAAGCTTAATTGGTCTGGAACATCCTCCCCCCTCTCCCGTACAACCATTAGGTTTGTACCATATGATGAAAATGAAACATGTGGTAGGGGTATGACTAGCTTCAGAGAGTCGAACAATTCAAACTTAAAATCATGATAAATTAAAAAGTCTACATTTGATGAGTGGGTTCTTTGAATTCGTAGAAAATAAATTGACTTTAAAAAATAAAGTCTTTTATTCGACAACTTAAAATATGCAAAGACAATCGCCTCACAGCTAACTGTTCGCAACAAACTTCTACGCTCGTTACCTCGTGCTCCTAGGATCTAAAAAGGATATGCTCCCGATACTCACTGCCAATCAAGCCACAGATTGATTTCACTTTCGATTTCTCTATCCAAGTGCCAACCCCATCGAAACAAAAGATAACTTCTCTTGAAATAACCATTCGAATTAAGATAGTTCTAGAAGACTATGATAACAGAAGTTTTGGAAGATTCTTACTATGATTCGTCAAAGCTATAAAAAAAAACATATTTTTTTGTCACTACTAAATATATCACAATCGTATAAATTCATACTAAAAAAACCTGCATTGAAACCTCATGCCCATTCAAAATATTTAATCTGATGTCCTAAACAATCTCCACCTTACGACAAGTGTTTGTTCAAACTATACTGAATTAACAGCTAGAAATAATCAAATAACAGGCAATCTTGAAATTTTAGAAAATATTAACAACCGTTTTGCTAAACGTACAAGAGAAGACTTTTCTCGCGTGAGGTCAACTAAAAATGGCTTCTTACCAAGGAAATCTCAGCCTCCCTCACTGGAAGCTTCGACTCGCCAGCACTCTCAGACCTTTACCGCTCGAGAAGCGCATCTCTGCCATCGTGATCTGGGTCGATTTCAGAATAAACTTCCGGGTCCTTCACTGCTTGGGGTCCGCTCCCCTGCCCTCGTGAGCCCGGTATCCTGTATCACGTGACCACCAACTGGCCCGGTATTTCCGCCAAGCGTTCTTCAACCATGCTCACGGTGGATCATCAGGCAGTGACATGGCTGACGAGACTGTCATATTTAAAGCAAATCTAATTTAGACTCAATGCTCATAGGCCGATAACTTTTAATTAACATTTCAGTTGTATCTTGCCTGGTAAAACTTGTTTGAATAAAATAAAAATTAAATGGTACTACTCAAGCTTACAATACATACAGTTACTCTAATTTTATTATCACTATTCAAGGCGTTAACCGGAATAACAAAACTTTACGCAAAATCGCATGAGTAACGAGTAATTACACTTTTGCTACGTAACTTAAAAACGTAGGAGATGTAATACGATATATTACACCCTTACATAGTCAAGATAAGAATGTTATTCGCATGCTTTTTCCGCTACTTAACTTCTGCGGAAAAAAGACAGATATTAACATAGCGTGCACGACCTGAATGCAGTCACAGATGTATGACTTGCGCAAAGAGAAGAATGCAGCACGCAAAAACACATTTTCGCTAAAATCAGGTAGACAAAGAGACGGGCATGCACTGCTGCTAAGCAGGATCAGAACGATGAGGAAACGGCATGCGCAAACGCACTGCCGATTAACAGGACCAGGACGACGAGGTGACGGTGTGCGCGAACGCAATACCACTTAACAGGACCATGACGATGAGGGGACGGCATGCGTGAGCGCACTGCCAATTAAGAAGACCATAATGACATTTTACGGCATGCGCGAACACACTGCCAATTAACAGAACCAAGACGACGAGGAGACGGCGTGCGCGAACGCACTACCGATTAACAGGACCAGGACGACTTGGAGACGGCGTACGCGAACGCACTGCCGCGTAGCAGGGTTAGGGCGACGAGGAAACATGAACACGGCATGGTGCACGAGATCGTGTGGGAGCTAGTTGCGGTGGCACGTCCCCTACGCCAACAATGCTGCTGCCTCCGCTGTCACGGTCACTGTTGCAGTCGCTGCTGTCATTGTTGCTGCGCTGTGTTGTTGAAGTGCTTTCTGAAGCCACTTGCTTTCTCCCTCCCATGTTTTCTCTTGCGTGAATTCCTGACATAACTATAACTCTAAGGTTTTGGCACAAACATGTAGCTGACAAAATTAGCTTCACACAAAGGTAGAAACATTTTTGGAAAGTTATCGAATTTGAATAGTATTTATTGCTGCCAAACAAAATGTGACTCTGAGACATTGAAGTTAGTGGCAAAACTGTACTTCTTTTTGACCAAAATCAACAGCATCATTTTAACATAACAACGCTAGTCATTTACATTCCAACCCTTTTTGCTTATTTTTACTACACATACATGACAGAAAAACTTTCACGTATTTCACTTTAAAATATAAGCTCGATTGATCCGGTACACCATCTATGTCAAGAGCCTATTTTACAATCTCCCGACTTTAGTAAATCATTCAAGTTAACAACAGATGCATCTGACTACGCTATTAAAGCGGTATTAAGTCAACAAGAAGATGGGTTTGACTATCATGTCGCCTTTCTTTTAAGAACTATAAATAAAACTGAATAAACTATTCTACGACTAAAAAGGAACGCTTAGCTGTAATATACGCAATGCATTATTTCCGTTTATATTAATTAAAAAATAAATTCGCTCTTGTAACTAATCATAAGCCATTGAATTGGATGCATACTAGAAAAGACCAAGGGCAGCGTTTAATTCGCTGGATGTCTAAATTCACCGATTATAAGTACACTTTCAAATAAAAGCCAGGAAATCTCAATACCAATGCAAATGCATTATCTAGAAACCTAGTAGGACCATTTCTGCATGCGGAAAACAATGTAAATAATGGAGTTCTATTTTTAGAAGTTATAATGAGGGGTCGCGAAAAAATAGAGGAAAAAAGGAGAACAGAATTACAAATTCCGAGGAAAGGAATAGTAAGGCATTTAAATTTAACGACTATCAAACCTTAATCATTGCCCACAACCTTGAAGGGGACAGTGGAAGTAACAAAATCTAGAAGCATGACCAAATCAGGAATAATGTATCTAAATTGGCCAGGGGCCCTGGATGACCCCTTGGTTAAAAAACAAATAAGCAACGGCCACACTTAGATCATAGTGCGATTGCTCAAAGGACTCAAACGAAAACATTTTTACAGCCACATACATCATCTGCATCTGGACCGAGTATATTAGGAAATGTCACGAAAAATACATCAAAAGATTCTAGCTCATTCAAAGTGAATTTTTCAAAATTAGTAGCCTCAATATTACACGCTAGTGACATCAACAAAAAAATCACCGGAATAAAACCTAATAGTTTCAAAAATGAGGAAATGATACAATTGCCAGTCAGAGATATAGTTAACCTTGGTGTATCGTGGAAGACAAATATGTTTTCCGAAATCGACCCGAGTGGTACAGAAGAATTATCAGGAGAAGGTACACAACCACCAGTATATGACCCTAGACGAAGTGGATTACGGCAAAAATTGATTGAAACGGAAGTAGACTCAAATACAGATACTGATTCAGACGCAACAAATACGAATATCTCCATTGTACCCATTTCACTAAGTGAAGGTTCGAACGACAACGTTTTTTAAGACACACCTAAAACTACGAAAAGTAATATTGATGAGGTTACTTATCAAGAAATACAAAAGTTAACAAAAAAATTTATCCAAAGTCTTCAAGAATATTTAGACGAGTCTAACAACGATGATGAACCCGAGCAAGCTGATACTGATTTTTTATTAGTAACCAGATTTTATGACGAAGATAAGCTGGATCCTGAAATTCAGGACATATTAATCGAAGTAGACACTTACGACCCCGATAATTTTGATGATTTTATAATCGGTGAAAAAATTGCAAATTTATCAAGACGTACAACGGAATTTAAACCCCTGTTTGATGAACATGAAATTTTTAGGAAGTATATGACGAGTGGAGAATTATCAATTACCCCTCGTATTTAAGAAAATATACCCTTAAGTTCTAGTGTACTGACGCACACGAGTACTTCTATTATTACAAAAAATATACAAAGCACTGAGCTTGAAAGAAATAACAGAAGAAACCCTGAATAACTTGAATGAAAACAGCAAACAAACAAGCTGTAATGCAAACAAATCAACAAGTCGAAGTATTGCACCTGATTTCATGCTACTATCGGATTTATACCCTTTTTCACCAATCAATCGATACAAACAACAGTACGGAAAGGTGTACGTAAGTCTTAGTGATAGTAGCAGTAGTACTAACAATTATAAGAACGTAAATAGAGCTAAGCTAATAAACATTTTTTTTACCAGCAGATATTGTCTTTCATACAAAAAAGACAATTAGCAATCATTGTATTAGCAAAGATTGTCAACCAGTCACATTTGTCTCAAGACTTTTAAGATCAACAGGTGCACTAGACTTTAGTTATTTAAAATCGAAGAAACCAAAAGTCGGCTATATCTTAATGACACCTTATGGAGGGCTTACTATACTGTTAATCGTTATTAACGAAACACCTATTAATCTAGTAACTTTTCAAAGCCTTTCAAAAGCTTTTAATACTGTTGAGACGAAATCTTCACACTTTTCGAATTTCAAGAAGGGGAGATCTTACAGACAAATTAGAACTTGGATTGATAACAGAAATGTTTTGAAGGAATTTTAATGAAACGCCTATATAAATTCATTATCATTACGGAAAGGTGGATTTTCCAAAAATTCAAGAACGTAATGAAATAATTCTAACAATACATGACAGCCCTCTTGGAGGACATGAGAAAATAAACCAAACTCATCGGAAAATAAAAAAACGAGTTTATTGACCTGGAATGACAAATGATATTCTCAATTATGTTTGTAAATGCAGCAAATGTCAAGAGAAAAAAATTTAACAAATAAAAATAAAAAAACCCTTGATGCTTACAGATACATCTATTGAAGCTTTTGATAAAGTTTCCATTGATACCGTTGGTAAATTAAGAATAATAGAAAATGGTAATTGCCATTTGCTAACCGTACAGTGTAATTTGACTAAGTACTTTATATTAGTGCCTGTACCAGATCTAAGATCGAGCACGCTTGCCAATGTAGTCGTATAAAATCGAATATTAGTTTACAGTGCGCCTAGAGCAATTTTATCAAACAGACATGCTACATTATTGTCTAATTTATTAGAACAACTCATGAGAACTCTCAAGACCAATCATCTAACTACATCAGCATATTATCCTCAAACAAACGGATCACTAGAGCGAAGTCATGCTGCCTTAGCTGACTTTATAAGAACTTACTCTGAAACTTATGATGACTGGAACAATTTGGCCAAATTTTCAGATTTTACATACAACACAAGTGTACATGTAGCAACGAATTTTACACCCTATGAACTAGTATTTGAGGGAATAGCAAGGTTGCTCTTGAAGATACCTAAAAACGTAAGGTTACGAACCTATCCATTATACTTACAAGATGTTATTAAGCAACTTTGAGAAATACAAACTGTGGCAGGAAATCCGCAAATAAAAATGAAAATATAAGTAGAAACAAGATACAATAAAAAATTACAGCCTTTAAATGTCAAACTAGGCGATAAAGTTTCGGTAAAGAAAGAAGTACGCTTCCATAAATATGATCACTACTATAATTAACCCCTAAAAGTAAAAACAGCTTTAGATAAAAACAATGTATTGTTTAAAAAAAACGATGGTAAAACGTTACAAAAACACACAGATAAATTAAAACTTGTTCCCCAATAAAAATATCATTGTAAGAATTATATTCTACATGTCTTTCAGACTAAAAAAAAAAAAAAAAACCATGCGTCTTATATTGGCCATCTTAATGACAATAGTGTTTAAAGGTTGCGCAGATTTGAACCATTCTAATCATGGCAACTAAAACATAGAATCACTGAAAACGAACCCTGTCATGTACTATGAACGAATCGGTATTACAAAAGTTTCAAGACTGGAAGATAGTGATATGGTTTGATATTAATAGATTCCTGTTGGAATACACACCTACCAAAAAAATTTAATGAAATCTTTCGATATTGTATTGCTTAGTTTGGTTAACCTGAATGTACTAACTATAAAGAAATAGACCTTTTGAATTTAAAGATAATGAGATTGAAAAATCTTAAGGTAACACTATTTAATGTAATAAATACTGCGGGAACCAATGCGGGAGATAACATTATTCCACCTCCCAGCATACGAACAAAAGTTGCTGATGTGTGGACTTCAGAACAAAATTTTACTCTCGACGGATATTTGATACATTTGTCAACTTCTCTTAGAAAAACTAAGGCTACCTAAGATCATGTAGTTCGTTCCCATGAAGATCAAATTGACATCTTGCATAATCTACAAAGAGGTCAAGCACATCCAAAGTTATTTTCTCCAAACATATTTAGAACCGTAGCCCTGGGTGTAAAAAACCTAGCAGAGAATCTAGAATTTGTAGCACCAATATAGAATATTTATGCTGACAAAATGAGCATTCTAAAAAAATTATATGTTATGCATCAAAAAAATAGGAACATGGTAATATTACATTGGCCACCCGTAGATCAAACCCCTTATAAACTAGTAAAAATGGACCTGCCTACATAAAACCTAAAATTTTTCTACTAGTAACAAAACAATTTTAACAGATTATGAGAGGTGATGAAAAATTGAGTCACAAAGAAACAACTGACGATCTACGTTTATTAGCGTACAATCATTCAAGAAAATAAACAGTTTAAAAATAAGGTTATTCAGGAAGAAGATCGTTTGCGGAATGGTCACTGAAACTTTTTTTTTTCGTGGGACTAGTAGATTATTTTCATAGTCTTATTAGATTCGGAATATCCCAAAAATTCAGGATGGTAAGCAAATCTGTTTTCATCAAAATTTTAAACTGAGCTTATGTTGATCTCAGGACAATACCTATCTATACTATATTAATTACATACATTTATACGCATACACAGGTGCTCCATGTACGTGGAAAAATAGTACATTATGATATTAATGCGCAACGAAGGCGATTGACGCATGTGTCAATCACCTAACCTCTCACACGTGTGGTGTATACAACTTTTCGACACATCGTGCGAGGGTAAAGAGATTATGAGCCATCTAATGTGGCTCTAAAGATCTCGACGTACACACGCACTCGCACAAGGGCGCAGCACAAGTTGTGAGTTGCGTGTGTAAATCGAGGTCTTTAGAGCCACAATAGATGGCTCATAATTTCGTTCCCCGCGCACGGCACGCCGTGTCAAAAAAAAATTAAAGCAATTTTCATGTAAAAGCAACAATAAAGTAGGGACTAAAAAATTGTAACGATATCTCTAACTAGCGTTATATCAGTTTTAATCCATATCAGCTGAAAAAATCAAATAATCCAATGACAAACGTACTTTACCAAAATTTTTAAGAAAAATTTGCTGTATTCAGGAATACATTTATTTAGTACAAAAACTAAAATTATAATTAATCATTTAAAATCACAAAATTGAACAAAACTTAAATCATAGAAATTTATTGTCAGTTTTGACAGTATGTTTTAACTCTACTCGTTTTATTTGAGCACATTATGCAACAAAAAAGCAAAAGAAGTACATTTTGCTAGAATATGATAATCACTAAGTGTACAAACTGCACATTTATTTTAATACTAAGTGTGCGAAGATTTTACTTATGATTACTTTCCTTCGTGCGATTACATGCAAACCTGTGCAAAAATAATTTTCTACACTACAGTAAAAACGGTTACATTTCACACAAGGTATCGAAAATCTTCTTACATTTTTTTTCCATTAATTAAATTTAAGAAGTATAAAGCTAAATAATTGTGATACTTCTCGATAATTAAGATTTTCACATAATTTAAATAGTTCGAAGAGAAAATATTGATATTTTAATTATCATATCAATTGCTACAAATATATAAAGGTATCGTATAGATATTTTTAATCATGTCCTCTCAGGGCCATCCAAGTCCTTTTCAGTGAAGATATTTTTTTAATTCTTACTTTTTTTTTAAACTGCTTAAAATAGAAAGTAATCCAACTTTCATTTTTTATGTTAAGGATGTTTTCAATGGAAAAGGACATGGATGGGCCTAAGAGTGCTTGGTTAGAAAAACTTGTATGGTACTTCTATCTGTTTGTGCCGATTGATATAATGATATACACATTAATATTTTCTTTAGTACCTATCATGATTATATTAATGTATTAACTAGATTTATTTCTGATTTACCACACAATATATTTATAGGCATATAAAAATGGTATTAGCAATTATAATCTTACTGCTGGGCATCTAACAGCACATTAGTTTTCAATCTCAGTCTAAAATAATACGCTGAAATTTATTGATAAGGTCTGATTTCTCAATACACACCACTCAAATTTCCCATTAAAAATATGATTCGTAAAGACTTCTTCATTTTAGTTTTATATTGAAAAAATTGTCTCATTTATTCTTAGCTTACGTTACAAATGTCTCTTTTATTATTTGATGATTGCTACGACGCCTATTTGATAATTTATACTTAATATTAATTATATTGAATACAAACCACACGTTGCATTATACCAAAGAATATTATGACTCCAAATGACTCATTTTTTGTTTTCTTGCACAGGTGAGTCCACGTCTGGGGATACATAGGGAACAGTGTGCGAGTTGCGGTCTACATGTCTTCCTCCCTGAGAAGCTTGTTGCAGCCCACAGTGCCTATCACCACAGCTGCTTCCAATGTATGCGATGTTGGTATCAGCTCACCCCTGATAACTACTATAAGACCAAGAGTGCCCAATATTGCTGTGATGCCTGTTCTGAATTCGGTGCATGTTCAGAATTGGAGATTGATGTAAGTGAAGCTGACCTCAAGCAGGACATAGATAAAAAGGAGAACAAAATGGAAATCATGACTACAATTTCAGATCCATTGCTGGAAGCTCCACTTAGTGACGAAGAAAAGAGTGAGCAGCAAGGTGTTAAACGTTCGATAGTCAAAGAATTGTTGTACCAGCAGTGGAGCCAGCTTGAATTTATGAGTCATCATTTAATTGGTGAAAGAGTTATTAACCACACTGTAAACAGTACCAATGATGGCATTAACACGCCTGGCAGACTTTTAGAAGAGATCATAAAATCAGACGAGTTCGAAAGCAACAAACAGAAAACTGACAGAAAGGATCTACTGCTGTCGAATAATAAAGATGACAAATTTTTTAAAATAATCCAGCGTATTGACAAGAGAATTGAAGAGCTCACGGTTGATGATGATAACAAAGTTGAGCAAAAAGAAATAAATCCTGTTTTTTTCGAAAAACTAGAGCAAAACAAACAACAACAAAAAATAGAAATGAAACAGGAGGTCCCACAAACAATAATAGCATTCCTCGATACAAGGCCGAGATACAACTTGCTTGAAAATAGCAGGTTTAATTTTGAAAACGAATTAAAACGAGCAAACAATAAGGGCAAAAGTGACGAGGAAGGAGAAGAGATAATAAGAAGAGAAAAAAGGACCAGCTCCCACAGCAGCAATCCAGAACTTGGATCAAAGCCCAAAGTAGATGGAGACTGGTACGTGAAACCTACAATTGTACTCAGAAGGTGGAGTAGCTTGAGACTCACTGGCGAGTATACCAAAGAGCAGCTCAAAGCCAAGCTGCGACACTTTCATTATCTGGTTAAGAGTAAGTTATGGCTTTTTGATCAAGTGCCTGAAAAGATATCTGAAAATTATCTCAGCTTGCCTAAACAACAACTGCAGCAATCAAAGAACGATTACCCAAAGGATCTTAATCCGTTTTCCAGTGACAGTGAAGATGAACTGTTACAATCTCCGTCAGAGCAAAACATTAAAAAACCACTTTCATCCAACCCATTTGGCTGCAGTGATGGAAGTGAATCACCGAAATCACTAATGTCAGAAACGATGACGACAACGACGAGAACGACTATGACATCAAAACGAGTTGCAAGCAGTAAGAGACCAGAGCAGTCAAAAAAACGTCCAATATTAAAGGCAACCAAGTACAGCTTAAATCTCTTCGGGAGTGATGTCGACTTTCTGGATAGTGACCAAGAAAATGAGCCCAAGCTGAGGAACATCGCATCTGCATCGTCATCGCTGGCTTTACCACCAATCTTTCGACCAAGAACGCTGAGGTCCATTATTCAGGCATTGTTTAAGAAATCATTAGCACTTAATTTGGAGAAAAAACCAGAGAACCATAATTATGATATTTATTTTTGAAGCATGTAGATTTCATGAAGCTGCTAACACAAAGTTTTAATTAAAATACAGTTATTTTTGTACTCACAAATAATGATTCATGAAATGATTTATCATGTATACTTTCTATACATTGGGGGGTAACTATATATGTCTAAACATTTTGATAATACAGTCAATCACTGACGTACTTACAGTGCTGTGTGGTAAAGAACAATAGCGTCTAGGTCCACAGTGTTATGTTTATCGTACCATTGGTAATAAATCACAAATCACTTAGTACAACTCACACAAATAAATAATTTTTTTATAATATTTACGGAGGCTTATTAAAATATGAATTTTGTCTTAACTGAAAAAAGGTCAAAGGAAAATAAAAAAAGTTTTTTTTATTTTTCTTTAAAATAAAAGTAGTTGTATTAAGCTGGCAGCCAGCTGCTTAAAATACTGGTACAATATAATAAATTTTTTACGAACTGGTAGTTTGAACTTACTTCTTTTAACATGAAATGTGTTCAGTGATATTGTCTCTTTCTTTATTAATGCTACCTCGGATGATGTACAAAATTACTGCCAACTTACAAACAATTTTGTCAATGTTCAGGTGTAAATGCTTATCCCCTGATATATCTCATTAGCTACATAGGAGTCATACTTTACAAATTTGAAATGAAGACAAACTCTTTGAAAAAGATGCATTTCAATTATTGCATAATTATTGTATTACGTAGTATCTTAATCCAAAGTCTTATGAATCATCTCTCTTTAGGTACATTAATTTTTCTTTTCTATCATTAACTTTGTAAAGAGAATTCAACAATATTTCTTAAGTACAAAATGTGATGATTTTATAAGGTAACAAAATCATTAGATTTTTTTTTAAAGTCACACTATTATCGCTTATGTATATAACTTTATATATCTACAAGTCTCAGAAACAATTATCATGGCATGTTAATAATCATTCTTTTGAATTTTTTTTTTGCCTACTTTCTTTCTTATGAGTGCAGATCAAATTAATTAATTTTTTTTCGTTGCAGGTATTCATACGCAGAGAGTTTGCAACCCAAGTCAAACCTTACGAACAATATTATTTACTCATCTAATACATCAATAGTGAGCGCTGGTTCAACAATAACGCAAGGTGGCACATACCGCAAGAAGAAGCCAGCTCCACCACTACCGATACGAAGCAGCACGCCAAGCCCAAGCCTTAATACTAGCAACGATAGCCCTAAGCGAGTAAGCTTTGATTTTTAGGCATGACAGCCGGTAATTCATCATATATAATGGCCTAACACTTTCCAGAGCCTGTTACCTCATTTGACGCAGAGGACAAGGAAAGCAAAAGCAGCACCCCTGCCCCCACTCTCATCCGTAGTAACTTCAACACCCTGTAAGAACAGATGGACAGAAAGTCCTCAGACCAAGCCGACTTTAAAATTTACAATCAAACCATGTAAACAACAGCAGCAGCATATCTGGGACGAAAAAAAACTGGATAAGAATAAGGTAAGCCCCAATATGCAGAGCAATTCCAGCGTAGACGGCTCTGAAAACCTGGATAAAAGCTTCAATTCCAAATGGACGCACAAAAAAGGCCCAGCTCCACCCCAGCCTATCCATCTGCACCGGAAAGTAAGTTTCCTCCTCTCACTGAAGAAAAAGCTATTCTAGATGGATTATCTTTTTGTATGTCACGTCCTGTCATCCCTAAATTCTGAAAGTTGGTATTCTGTAAAAAGAATAAACACGGTATGTTAAGTTAGTCAAACAATAAGGGATGCAACTAAAACAATAGGTGAAATCGTCTAACTTGTAGAATAGTAAGTGGATTACTGCATAAAATGGTAGAAGAGAAGTTTACTATTTGTAAAAAATCGTGCACAGCTAAAATGTAAAATTATGATTGAGTATGCTCTTTGTGCTTTTTATATATATATGAAACATTATTTTTTTTAAACGTCTTTTGAGTTGTACTTATAAATACTTTAAATAGCTCGTAAATTTGTTCAAAAATTACTAAATATTAGAAAATTAAATAGAATTTTATCAAGAAATTCTGAACGTAGAAAGGGTATTAAATTTTAATTTTTAGTTGTTAATCTACCACTGCTAAGAATGTATTTTTTTTTAAAACCCTTAACTTTCCACTATTCACATATCAAAATATTATAATTGTTATTTAATGACACATTCATTACGTATTGAATTTTAAAGCTTACTTTCGTTATAATAGTGTACAGTTGTCATCATTAAAATTATCATTATTACTATTATGGTTATGAAAATGTAACTACATAACTCTTCGTTTGTATGCCGACGTTTTTTGTAAAGTTAAAAATATCAGTATACTAAAAAATCAATTTTCATTAGCATATAACCACAAGTATAATTTTTAATGCTTTTATTGTTATTTTCTTACTACCAATAGATCAGAGTTATGTTGACGAAAGACATAAAGTTAGAACTTGATCAAATCGAAATACAACAACAGGGTCTGGAAAAACTGGGTATTCACTTAGAGCAGATTATAAGAGAGAAGTGTGAGTTAGGAGACACTAATGAAGGTAAATACGACTACCTTTACTGGTATCACTTACGCTGATTGTTTACACTGCAACACAATAGTTTCTACAATTTTTTTACTCTTACGTCATACATAATTATGTCTATAAGTAAAAAAATGTTATATAAACTGCTAAATACAAGTAAATACTTCGTATTAGTACTACTATTACTGCAGCTTATTTACTTATTTAATCCTAAAATCCCATGTTTATATAACAGCATTTTACCTTTCTACTTTTTCTTAGAAATTCTCGAATACCACAGTATGTATTATTTATTTTTTATTGTATATAAATACATTCGTCCTCGGTTATACAACATTTTTTTTCTTTATTCTTTATTATTTTCTTTAATAGTGTTGAAATATAAGTAAATTTATAGTAGTTATGTAACTCTAATGCTTTTCGGTAAATTAGAAATTAATACAACTAATAGTTTACAAGCAAATGTTGATACATCGAAATCATTGTATCAAGAGGTGCATATGCATAGATGGCGGCACTTTCAATACAAGCACTTTAAATCCTCCATACATACCCTTTTTCCAATAAACTTGCGGTGCAAGTGAATGTACATCTCCTCGGTAGCTCAAGTGGTAGAGCAACTAGACTGGTCTAGTAAACAGGAGGTTGTGTGTTCGATCCGCACCCAGGAAGGATATTTTTCTCATTCTTATTTATTTCTTAAGAAAATTTTCTTGAAAAAGAAACTATGTGGTTTAGTATTATGAGTCTTAAGTATATTGGATATTGAAAAAAGCGTATGTATGGAGAATATAGAGTGCTTGTATTGAAAGTGCCGCCATCTATTCGTATGCACCTCTTGATACAATGATTTGGATGTATCAACATTCGCTTGTATACTATTGGTCGTATAAATTTCTAAATTTATACAAGATATGTAAGTAGTGACATTTGTTATGCGGCGTAAGCACTGCGAGTGCAGAATGATGTGTGTGTGTGTTTTGTAGTTTCTACATAAATGCAGATGAGATAGAAAGAACATGGCCGTTGCCGCGCACGCACGCTCTCATAGAGTCTCTCTCAGTATAAAGAGAGGAGATCTTGTGAACTTAATTAATCTTCATTTCTATTCTTAAATACATTAGTTTAAGTGTTAACAAGTGTTATGTTATTGATTCACTACCTCATGGGATATTTATTTAACAATTCCAACAACATGGACGCTGGTTTTCGACATTTGAGTACAAAACACTACAAGTTGTTAAAGTTTTAGTTAACTTTTGTAATTAGTTATTTTATCTGATCACACCCAATTTTTTTATTACTATGTTAGATATTAATTTTTTATTTTTTTACTATTATTCAAGTGACATTGTCCTATTGTAAGATTACAAAGTATACTTATATAACTTCATTAAATCAGCTGATCAAATTGGTAGCTGATAATTTAAAAAACATATCTAGACTACATACGTTAATCAAATTTGTACTAAAATCCTTAATTATTGTGCTAAGCTCATTATTTGTTAACTAACTGAGTGTAGTGCAATTTCAGGACCAAAGCACAACGCACACATCAAACTTATCGTCTTACACGAACGCTCATGCCTAATTCCAGATACAAGCCTTGGGCTGGACATCGAGGAGCTTGTTTTAGAGTTGTTTTCTCTAGTAAACGAGAAGAATGAGATTTTTTGAAGGCAAGCAGAGCTGATTTTTCTGAGACAACAGCAAAGACTCGAAGAGGAGCACGCTGACGTCGAGTACCAGGGTAGGTAGGTCATAAGCCAACCAGAAGCAAGTAAAACTGACTTTCACAAGCAGGGTAAGGAGATACTTATCCAAAAACTCCTAGAACTAGTGGAAAAGCGAAATGAAATTATCGAGTACCTAGAAATAAATAATCTAAGAGAAGTTGAGGAGGATCGCAGCATTTAAAGAGAAGTGGACCTGTTTGTGGGTAAGCCTCTTTTTCGCCAGCAACGACATAAAGTAATAGATTTTCTAATAAAAAAAATCCATCCATTCTTATTTCTTTGGATAACTTTATCATTTTTTTTATTTATTCTCCCTTACACCGTTATCAACAGATGTCTACCTTTCCACAAGTTTATGCCTGTAGGAACAATAACCCAGTAAAACTCTGTAAGGAGCTATCGAAGTACTAGTCCAGAAAGCTTAACATAATTCTGATAAGGTTCTTTTTAGATTAAACCAGCTTGAAATTTAGCTTGAACATTTTCACCCACTTCGATGGATTTCTGTCGAAAAACTTATTAATGCAAAACTAGATATAATAGCCGAATTTTATGAATAGTTGAATCCTAGACTAGGTCAACATGCTTGTAATCTGACACGGTCTTAATTTAAATTATAAAAACAATAAGATGATTATACAATTTATTAAATATTTTATTTACTCGCGAGAGCTAAATTTCAAATGTGTTGGCAAGACACATGAAAGATTATAATTATTTGTAGTCAAAGAAAAGAAACAAAATGGTAGCTATGCAGTAGATAAACTAAGACGATTTTAGACCAAGTGAGCTACAATCTCCAGGCCATTACGGCTCACTCCCTCTCCGTGGCAAGTGGACCCCTCTTTTCTGGTGAAATAATCCATGGTCTTCTGCGTGCGCTACAATGTGCATTAGTTACCTGTAGCGCTGTGTGCGCCACCTACTGTGTAGCTTATGCAGGTGGTAATTGTATGCACATAAAATTTTATTTTTGTTAGCGAGTACTTTGCACGATGATGTAGGATGTACAGTGGTAGAAAAATAATTGTTAAACATTTGTAGTTTAATTTTTTTTATCGGTTTATATTAAATAAAAAACATGTAGATGATTTACAAAATGATTCTGTTATGGATTTTATTCTTGAAATATATTAAAATATACAGTAAAAGAATTTTTTATTATCATTTTTATTGTATACTGTGCCTTACCAACCACGTCGTAGACAATCATCCACATGAAACGTTGCTTTTGTCGCTCAGGACGTTCTTATGCTGCATAATATAAATCGATGTCTTGCTTTGATGACTTGATTAATGTGCTAGTCAAAAACCATTGTTTTGATATGTGCACTTTATAAAGGGCATTAAGTAGATTATTCTTTTTGAAATAGCTGTACCCATGAGAAAAGCATATGGAAGAAGAGATTTTGTCTTCAAAGTCTCTGGAAGGACAATATAATTGGGACAAATTGTAAACTGCGCGCGCCAAGATTGAACTAACGAACTTAGCTCCACCACTTCCGATAATATAAATTCTTTCAAGGTTATTAGCAATAGTTATAAGATAATACTTCAAGTTATTAAAAGTAACATTACCCTCAAACAATTTGATTCTGTATTCTTCTGGCAGCTGGTAATTATTATGCTTTTTTATATCCAACACCAGAGCGTTGAAATTGTAAGGTGGCTTGATTATCCAATATCCAACAGCGTTTTCTTGCTAGGAAACCACTGAAAATTCATTCGGTATAAAGTATCAATCAGCATCATAACAGCCATGAATACTAATGATGAAATCCATGATGCATTTGATGAATATTGTTAAATTGTGAATACTAAGGTCGAAAATTGTTTTTTTTTTTTTAAGTTTTCTCTATTTGATAAGGTTCTCTTCTTCACCATTGCTGTAACTACTTGTGTCTCATTGATAAAACTGAGAAAAAAGTAAGATACAACCAGTTCACACAACTTCTCTCTATTAGAGCTAGTGGACATCTTCCCATCTACAGTGCTGCTTAAGATTGCGTAATATCCCCATGAGCTAGTACGTGACACAGCTTCCCTTTTCTCCAAGTTCCTTAGCCACTTTTTTGGCTATAATTAAGTATTTGGATAACTCAAAAGTGACACTCAACTTTTGAAAATAATTTTTACATTTTATTCTTGAAACACAGTTGATATATTCTTATAGTTCTTTATTACCACTGTAAAAAAAAAGATTTAGTTAGAAAATACTATTTTACGCATTGAACTAAGCTTTTTTGTGATTTAATCTAAAATTTATCCACTTCCTTATTGCAGAAGCGTTTCTGATATACATAAAAAGTTAATGTTAAAGGTGTGGTATTAGCGTGGCAAAGAGTCTTTGTTGAGATTTGCAAGAGCTGAGCATTCATACGCTTTAATATTAACAACACTAAAAGAGTTAAAAAGCATGAATGACTTATAAATTTATTTTACTTTTTATTGAATGCAGATTTTTGTATATATATACTAGCATGGTAGTATTTCTTCGTGGTATTTTTTTTTCAAGACCCTTGACAAAACCATTCCTGCATAAACAAGTTCATTTTTAAATGTATGAAGCGCTCTTTCATAGGTAATGTTTCCAATATTCCAGCTCATACCATGAAAATATTTTTTCTAACCGACAATTTTGTTTTTTGTCCTCATGTGATAAATTTTTCTACTCGAAAAGTGGCTTCAGAACTAATACAACTGCAAAAGAATTTTATATTTTCCCAAGTTTAACATAGAAAATTTCTGTTAAAAAAATTTTATACTTGTGGTCTTAAAACCCTGAATATCTGAAATATACACCATCATTGAAAATATATAAATAAATATATGTTTACCAAGAGGTGACTTATGCGGAAAATCACATGTATGTAAGGGTTATTATGAGGACAAAAGTGGAATTATGCGGACGTCTGCATAATCCTACCATGTTATTGATTATACGTTAGAAGCACGTGAAGTCCGCATAAGTCACAATTCATAAACATATATAAAGATACGTGTTTCAGTCAAGAAGGTGTAAACGAGTGAATTTTACTGTAAAGCATATTATTCTAAATATCCAATGAATGACCCCAACTCTCCCATACTCTTCCATATTCCTACTATTTTTTAACATGTGTGTTATCATAAGATCGAAGCTGCTCAAATGGCTTATTTTAATGCAATCCATAAATAAGTAAGCTTGCAGTTTCGAGTTTACTATGGCTACTGCACAATATTTTAAAGATGCGGCACTCTGCTCATCCACACATAGCAAACATATCAACAAACTATCAATAGATATGATACTGCATACATTTAACTTTAATTAGATACTAGTCTTACAGCTCTGAAAAAAATACATTTTTTTCATCATAAAAAAATGATTTAACAACGTCTAAAATGCAAAAGTTTTAATCAGCTATAGCCTGACTGTAAACTCTTATACAGCTACGTTACAATTGCTTAGAAATAATAAAAGCAGCAGTAATATTAACTAATGAATCTGCAGTTTTTGTATCAGATGGTGATCGCGAAGTTGGGCAGCGATCACAGCATTCCAAAATAAACCCGAAGTGCTTGTACTGGAAAATAGTAAAGAAATCGCATCAGCTAGCAAATTTAAAAATAACCCGACAAAATACGTTCAAGGTGAAGATATAGCTGCAGGAGCATCCACAGCAGCAAAAATACCGTCAATAATACTTCCAGTTACCGAGAAAAATGAAATATTAGGTCTCAAAGCTGTTAATAGCAAGGGTGTAGCCAGGGGGGGTGGGGTCTCGGGGGTTAAACCCCCCTCCCCCAAGACAAAAGTAATTAGAACCCATATGACTACAAATCACATAAATATTCTTTAATACTTTCACGTAACAAAATAATCAACAAAATTTTTTTTTATATTAAAAATTTAAAATAATAAGCGGCGAGGTTGTTTGGAAAATACAGTGAGAATTTCTTCTGGTTGAATGTCCGTATCTCGATGAATATTGAGGAGAGCTAGTCCATTGAGGCATTCTTCCCCCATGGTATTTCTTAGATATGTTTTAAGATGCCTTAAAGTACTAAAAGATCTTTCACTAGTTGTTGTTGTAACTGGAATAACGGCCAATACCTTTAATAGAGTATGTACTGGGCCCCATGTATCTTTGTTACATTTCTGATAACAGTCTATAGTTTTAATAAGTTTTCAAGTGCGAAAGATCAAAAGTATAAAAATTGCAAATTAATATTTACCTCCAATAATAACAAAGGATTTCTTGATTCAATATTTTCATGAATTAAATAATTTTGCCATAACTGGATGCTTCCTAACAGATTACTTTCAGAACAGTCAAGAAGAGAGAAATATGTATTATATAGCTTTTTAATGCTTTTTTCAATTTAACTGTTATCTTCTAAAGTATTAACAACAATTTTTTTGGATAAATATAACTACTAAGACCTAAATACTGCAAACAATAAAATTTTGGAGTTTTGTCTTACCTGTTTTCGGTTTGAATAGAACATCAAAGGATTTTAGAATATCTTCGTGCTTGATGAATCTGTCATTCAAATGAACAATAAATGTGTCTATAAACGGTATGTAGATTGTTATTTTAAAGTAATCTTCAATGCTTTTAGTTTCTATATTACTACGATGAACTTGACGCTTAACAGTTCGTGGCTTCTTTATTTCAACTTTATAGTCAGAGCAAAAATTTTGTACTTTAGTATAAATATTGTGAAAATCTGTGTCTGTCGTTTGTCTTATTTTTTCTAGCTTACTATTGGCATACTTTACTGAATTTATAGTTGTGTTTAAATTTATCTCATCATTTTGTAGTAACATACTGAGTGGGATAACTATTCCGTGAATACTACTCATAGTTTGACATGAAAACGGTGGGATTAAATTTATGTATTTATGTACAACAAATTCTTAGATTTTTTATATTATTTGAAAAAGTTATTTCAAATTTTACCTGAAATTCTGAAAAAAGTATAAATTTGATAAGTCTGGACGCTTTACCAGAAACTTCAGGATCATTACAAGTTTGAAATTTTTCTAATGATTCAATTACGAACGGTTGAAGTTCAAGAAATGTTGCAACTGATTCGTGCCTTTCCACCCATCATGTTTCGCACATCCTCTTAAGCCTTTGCGATTTGGGATTTTTACTCCCTTGCTCCACATTAGCTGCTATGATTTCTTTTAAT